CCCCCCCCCCCCAAAAAAAAAAAAAAAAGAAACTATGGTATGTTTTTTATGTTCTGCAGTTGCTTTACAACAGAGATTTTAGAGGGATTTGATGTGCAAAGAACCAGTGGCTTGTCAGATACACTAAAGAAGTATGGTTATCTTACTCATGCAATTACACAATACTACATATTACAGGCATCTGATGAGCGTCTTAGTCATTTTGATGTCTGTCCTCGTCTCGATGTATTTATCAAAAAGTGCCAAGAATTGGATAAGATGACGGTTAGTGATGTTTTTGCACTTCAGCTCATGCAGGTATGTTTATAAAGGAAAGCAAAGTTCATTCTTAGAATCCTATGATCATTCATAGTCTAATGGCATCTATGTATGCAGGTGCCTCAAGTTACAGAGGAGATTGCGGTCGCTGTTTTGGATTTGTACCCCACTCTTCTATCACTTGCCCGAGCATACTCTCTTTTAGTGAGTTCGATTTCCTTTTCTTCTATTTCATAAGGTTGCTTATCCTTCTTCCGATTACGCGCTTACTGGGAATTGGGATAGGTTTAAGACATATTTGTTATATATAGGTGAAGGAATTAAGTTCCCATCTACTACTCAAAACCATATAATTGACAAAAACTGTTAATCTACGAACATAAGACAGAGAATACTTTTGGACAAGTCATTTTTAGCGAAGCTAGAGGTTAGCAATCACTTTTGGGTGTGTTTGGGACTCACGGCTGCATAAACCCTGTTTCATGAGCTTAGGCTTACGAAACCCACCTTTAAATATTACATACAAATATCCATAAATTATTATACCCACAAAATAAGTAAAATTTCACAACCCAAAATATCTTTTAATTCGTTCCTTATACAACGAAAACACATATTATTGAAAATGTGAGCTAATAAGAGAAGTGTGTGTATTTTAAAGTAATTTCTTATTGTTTTCTAATGAAAAACTAGGACGATAATGTCACCCAACAAGAAGAGATGTTAAGGAGACAGAGCAACAATTTGATCAATGCAGCTGCTAGCCGGAATATTTTTCATTTGGTATGGGGTAGTGGGAAATAGTTCGCATATATCCTCAATAAACTGGCTTTTGATGGCTATGAGCTTCATAGTTACTGCTGTAAGTATGCTTATTATTTATTTTAAATGCCATGTTCATATGCTATAGTTTCCTCAGGGTTGTTTGTGACTGTACCATTTGACGAAGCTATATAGGCTTGCTTAGTTTCTGGTTTGAGAAGTGTGTCTCTAGCTAGTGAATAGTTTTAGTTTCATTACTGGGATGAAGTTGCATCCCTCTCTCCAATAGAATTTTGGTTAAACCGTTGAACTTTGCCCTTTGTTTCAAATTATCGTTGTATTTGATCTTTCATAAACGTTTCAAAAGTACTCTTAAAATAGAATCATGATATTGATGATGATACCCACAATTTAAGGATTTGGATGCCTTTTAACTTTCTTCTTCTTTTTGTGGCCATTTTTTATTTTATTTTATTTATTCTCTTCAGGTTTTGTTCTTCCAGTTTCTAAGCTCACCATTGTTGTACATGGAGCTCTATTACTTATGGGGTTCAGTTTTTTTTGTTATCTAAATAATATGTTTTTTTTTTCTTTGAGTAGTTTTTTTGTTTTTTTTTTCAATGAATAGAATAATTATGTTTTTTTTAATATATTAAAACAATTAGCGTAAACAAATAAATAAGAACTATGAGACTTGATACAAATACAACTTTATATCTAATATGCGAGATCCTACATCGATTGAAGAGAGAAACGAGTGCTAGCGAAAGACCCGAAGGTGGGTAGATTGCGAGATCTTTATCGATTGAAGAAGAGAGTGGAACCCAACAAAAGCTTTTAAAATTTTTGAAGGGAAGTTCAAGAAATCCAAAATAGAAAATATCTACCGGGAATAGTTTGGCTTTTTAAAAATTTTGATTAACAATAATGCAAAAATATAAAATGAAAGAAAATAAATTTCCAAGAAAAACAACTTCAACCTTGCTCATTTTCTTTTCATAATTTTTCATTTATTTTTGGAGTATTAAAATGTTGATTTCCTATTGTAATTATTATCAATATATATTTAAAATATTTACTTTTAAATTTTTAATGAATAATTTGTATTAAAAAAATGTAAAATATCATAATAAATCCATTAATATTTTGTAAATAAAAATATAATAAACATTTCTTTTGCGGTAACCGCCCACACCAATCCCATCTCTGATTTTTTTTCCCGTCTCTTTGATACTTCCTCTCTGTCGTTGCTGATCGCCGATCGCCGCCACGCCTCGACTGCACTTTTCTTTCTCTTCTTCCTCTTCTACTTTATCTCACTCTCTGCTGCAACCTCACGCTGCCACGCCAACCCCGTGCTCTCTCCCTGTTGCGGCGCCCCTCTTCTCCACCAATTTCAATCTATCCTACTTGCCGTCCGCTCCATCTCTCAGTTATCAGTATCAGCACGCACGGCTGACGGCGCGGCCTTTTTTTCGCCCAACACGTTCAGCTCTTTTTCTCGCGGTAATCAGTTTATTGCTTTCTCTAATTCTTTCCCTGTGTACATTGAATTCAATCTACACAACGGAACCTGTATAAAAAGATTGATAATGCATGCCCGTTTGATACTAAGATACTCAGTGGACATGAATTGTTGATGTTTAGACGTTAATAGAAATGCTATCCTACGGTTGGTTATTTTGATTTAATAGCTGATAGTGTCTTTTAGTATTTATGACGTGGTTGGAGAACCCATTTTGAGTTATTTCCCTTAGAAATTAGAAGATGTGAATTAAATTGGAAGTTCGCATGTAGAGTGCCGACCTTAGACTGGCAAGTGAATAATAGGAATGGTGCCCAATGTTCTAGGTGTTATGGCTTGGTTGTAATTCATCAATTTCACTGCTGGTGATCCGTTCTGACACAGAATCTGAGTCTGGGTTTTAGAAATTGATTGAGTAGAAGTTTTGTCTGTGATGGTTTGATGATATAAATGGTTTATAATTAGCTCGGGCTTTGGAATGCGGATTTAGCGAGATAAGTGAATCTCGCGATGTTCATAATTTTGATGGGTATCCCACCTCTCTTCCTTTCCTTCTCGACGTACAATTGATCTTTCTGCATTTCGGTTATTGGGGTGTTTAAGCTTTCTTTGAGCAAAATTGGGGCTTTAATTTGTTGTCTAGTTCTAGTTTTATGAAAAGATAATGGCATGGGAAATTGTTGATGGGCGAAGATGTTCTGCTGACACAGATGTTGCCAATCGTTTAGTTCTAATATAACCATTGTTGTATGAAATGCTTATCTGTTTTTGTGGAATCGAGTGTATAGGCCCAATGCTTCTACTAATTGGTTTTGTCGAGAACCCTTCGTTTTTTTTTTTTTTCCGCTATGTTGCGATAATTTAAGTAAGTCATTGTACCTTGAAATCGAGTTCACTATAAGGTTTTCTTTTATTCGTTGCTGAAGATTGCAATCGCAATCGGCCTAATTCTGTTAGATGGAGGGTACCATTGCTGAAGAACTTTATTCCGAGAGTTTGCAGTCAACAAAATCAAAATTGGCTGACATATCATTATCTGATTACAGACAAAATCGGCCATCAGGTATTACTATGTTTTCAATAATGCCTTAGTACATATAAAAGGGAACCCCACTAGAGGGAGGTGCTCCAGTTAAGTAAAACAATACTCAAAGAATAGTTACCAAAGATTCTTGTCACCGATGCCCACAGAAACATGGAATCTAGCAAGGGACCATTCATCACAAATTATGCCTAAAAAACGCTGTCATAACTTGACCTACGTTTGTAGGATTATATGAATCAGGGTCTGGTTGCAGGTTCTGCTGTGAATGACTCGTGTGAAGATGATGGATCTTTATGGGGTGGTTCGGATGAATGCTTGGAGGAAACATCTGATCTGGATAGGGAGTGGCATAGAAGACACGACCAATTTCATACGGTAACAGATTAACTATTCTATTTTATCTTTTTCTTTAATAATTGGTTTCACAAGAGAGGATTTAAATGGATTTCATGCTCCTTTTTCACTCTTGAATATCGTTTAGATTGGATACCGTGATGGTTTAATTGCTGGGAAAGAAGCTGCATCTCAAGAGGGATTTAATGTTGGCTTCAAGCAGTCAGTCTCTATCGGATATAAGTTGGGTCTTGTCAGAGGTGTTAGCAGGTTAGGAGAGAATAAATTTCCTACCATTTTACACATGCATGAATTCATACGTATCTCTTGAAGTTTGTGTCAGCAAGATTTTTTTTTTTCTTTTTCTTTTTATTTTAACGTGAAAGAACACTGGGTTCTTGTAATTGAACAGTTCTATTATATTGCTGCTATGTTCTAAAATATGTGTTACTTGAGTACAGCTGACCTTTCAAATAGTCTGTCAAATTTTTAGTCCTTCGGGCTCGTTTGGAATGATTTTTTTTGCACTTAGAAAGTCATTTCAAGTCGGCCTTACGTGATGTTGCATTCAGTATTGTTAAGAGAGCCCGTCAAGTATGACATGCAAAGAGGTGTAGGGTAGTATTTATGAAACCACATCTGTCTCGCAGTCTCTGTGCAGCACGCATAGGCTTTCTCCAGGACCCGATTTAAGTCAGCCTCATATGTCGTGCAACAAGTGTCAAGTTGGTAACCTGCATTGCCTTTTTCGCTCTCTTTCTTATTTCTTTCCTTTGAATTTCAGTCTAAGCCCATGTCGTCCCTTTGGTGAGGATTGAGCTATTGCTGCACCTAGCAAAATTATGCAATATAATTAGATGTTGAATCATAATTTAGGTGGCGATTTGAAATGCGAATTCTTAGTCGAATAGCTGAATAGCCGAATAGTTTGTTTGACAAGAACACCTCTCTTGAGTTTTTGTGTCATTAAAGACTTCAGCGATTACATCTCTCGTTCTTTTGAATTGGAGCATCTTTTTGTAATTCTTTCTTTAATGTTTCTTTTTTTATTTTGCTTTTTTGTATTGCCTTCGTGCTGTTCTCAATGAGAGTTGTTCTTTTCATGGAAAAAGGCCATTGATCCATTGTTCTTGGTAATACGGCCTTCTTCTGAACGTTTTCATTTTCATCTTCTGAAGTGTGCTTGCTTCCCTTCCTGATGACTTGAAAGAGAAGCTAGTAGGGATTGAAGAATACAGAAGTAAATTCCAAAGCTTGTATGAATCTGTGAACTCTCTTTCGACAGCAGATGCACTTAGGCTATTCCACGACGATATTATGGCACAACACACGAAAGAAGAATGCGTCGATGCAAATACGAGTTCCCAAACAATAGATTTGTTGAAGCAAAATTCAGATTACGGTCGTCTAGGACAGTTCTATGGAGAGCTTCAAGCACTGTTACCCAAATCACCTGCTCTGAATCTTCATTTACATGAAGAACAGTAGCTTCAATGCAACTTTTGTAGGTTCAGCATTTGTTATGTTGAAATTTTGGGTATTGATCTCTTCTGTCAGTTATGTATAATATTTACATTTGGGAATTTCTATATTCTCCTTTAATCCCGAACCAACCAACTCAAAGGAAAGTTTTGAAATCGATATGCTCTAAAATTTCTATTAGGTTGATTCTTTACGGTTTTCGAGTTTTTGGATATATATAATTTTTAATCTAAATGCCTTGTTCTTGAACAAGGTTAGTAATCGAATTTTTTTGCATGTCTGGTGTGATGATGTATTTGTTGTCTTGTTACTAATATGTTCAGCTAAAAATGGAGAGCCGATGATTTTTACTTTTGAAAATAGTGGACTTCGTTTGTGCGGCACTAGCATCTCAGCAACAAGCGACGTATGCTTGAGTCTCTAGCTTCGGTTTAAGAAGGAAGTTTTAGCCTCTGGCCTTGGTTCAAGAAGAAAGTTATAGCCTCTGGCCTCGATTCAAAAAGAAAGTTTAAAAACACGGGGCCAAGATTTGAGAAATTGAAATTTGTGTTATATGAGAATGTAAGCAAAAGGTAATAATAACGATTTACTACATATAACTATCGGTTAGGTTTTTTCTAACATGTTTAGTAATGGTTGGGTAGGTTTTTTCTGATGGATATAAACACAAATGAAATTATTTCTATGCCCTTATTTGCATTAAATAAATAAAACTTGTATTATCTATCAAATTATTTATTTAAATCGATTTTAATCTAAAATAATTTTAGTCCGTTGATTTTGAGTGAAAATAGTCATCAGGGGAGAGTCTAAGTTGATTCAAATATAAAATATTTAGATTTAAATTTATGTAATTTATAATTTGAATTTTTAATTAATACAATAAAAAGTTTACAATATAATTGGATTTTTTTTTTCAATAATTAGAGAAAGAGCATGTAATTGAGGAAATTTTATTGAAAATTTCACCAGTTTTTGCGTTCCAAACGTCTTGGGATTGGAATTATAAGGTGTAAGACGATCACCCGCTCTGGTCGGGTGATGGTCATTTACACCGACGCCGGCGACTCTTCTCTCAATCAGTAAATTTCGACCGCCACGGTGAAGATTTTCGCCGTTCATCGACTCCGCCCAGTGACCAGGCCGTTTACATCGACTCTGCTGCTCCTTCGAAACCCAGCCCCCGAGGTTTATCCCTCAGTAAGTCCATCCCTCTAGCTAAAACCCTGCACCAATTTTGCGAACTCTGGAACCCTAAACCTCCTTCCTCCGCCGTAGAAGTTAAGGTTTCCAACCACTTACAATGCCGAAGGTGTATGGAACTGGTGTTTACGATTTCAAGCGCCACAGAGTGGCGGAGTACCCAGTTGAGTCCAATGAGGTCGACGACAAGCCCGTGGAGTCTATGCCTGGTGCGACACTGCCAAACACTATAACGCTAGATGAGATTCAGCGAGACCGGCTGACTAAGATTGCGACGGCGAACTGGTCGAAAGTAAGCGACCCTTCGAAGCCCTTTGATCCAGAGTTAGTAAAGAAGATTTATGAGACGGAGCTTTCGGTTAAAGAAGGGCGGAAGACCGTGCCTCTGCAGAGGGTGATGATTTTAGAGGTCAGTCAGTACTTGGAAAACTATTTGTGGCCTAATTTTGACCCGGAGACTGCGACGTTCGAGCATGTAATGTCGATGATTCTCATGATTAATGAAAAGGTAATTATTCTGTGAGAGAAAGCTTTCTGGAATTCATTAACTGATCTCATTAGCATTTCTCCGTTTAAATGTACTTCTCGTTGTGTTGTAATGGAAATCTGTAAAGCATTTAGCCGGAAATGCGAAGTTGCATGCTAATTCGAAATTCCGTGGTGTTGCAATAAGCTTTGCACGGTAATTCGTGGTTTCTGGTAGATGCTCTTTTGGAAGAAGGAGAAAAAACAAAACCTCCATTTCCCCCCGTTTATATTGATGTGCGTCCATGCACAATTTTATTAATTTTATGAAAAACTGAAGTGAATATCGTAAGAGCTCATCCAGAAAGAACCTTACCATTCTTTTATTGTTGTCATTAGGTTATAATTTATTGAAACAGTATATTATTGTTTGTTTCTTACAGATTGTAATTTAATCTTGTAGTTTCGAGAGAATGTAGCAGCTTGGGTATGTTTTTATGATCGGAAAGACATCTTTAAGGGGTTTCTTGAGAGGGTTCTTCGACTGAAGGAGGTTAGTTTTCTTTTGATTGACTTGTTTGGTATGCCGTACTTGTGAAAATTGATCCAATGATATAATTTTAGCTGAAAGATTATCATCCTTTATTTTTATACTTCATTCTTGATTTATGACATTGATATATATGTGTGTATTTCATTGAGAAACCATTGTCATCCAAAAGAATGTAAATTCAATGAGCTATACAAAAAAAGAAGCCGATCCAGGGAATTGAGCTAGCAAAAGCTGAAAATTATAGGAAAAGTCTCTAGTCGCTTGCGGTTAGAAATAGAGAAAATTAGGAAAAGATTTAGTTACTACGATCCAAATAGATTGGAGTATTTTTTTCTCATTTTTGTAGAGGCTTGAAATCCGGAGGAAAGTATGCTTCTTTACTTAGCTCATAGTCTAGGGAAGGACTTGTTCTCCTATTGTCTTATAGAGAAAGAAACTCAATTCTCGTTCTTGGCCTGAATTGGTGTGTTTTGTCTAGTGTCTAAGTAGAAATTGGGAACTTTTTTTTGTTTGTAAACATCATGGATAACACATCCCTTTTGTAAATTTCAATCATCAATGAAATTGTCTCATATTAAAAGGTATACATATATATATTTTGCGGTTGTGCCTTTTATTTCCAAAATATGGTGTTGCATGGGCAGAGCTTTAATGTGTTGCAATGGTTGAAGAAGAAGATAGCCACCTACTAGCTTTCTCAGTTGTGCTCATGTTTCGCTAGTTTGGGTTGTTTTTGCTGTTCTTTTTTGCTACTATCGGTAGTTTTTTAGCTCAAGAATATGACTTATCCTCTTTTCTTTTCTTTTTTTGTTAATTGTTTTTCTAATGAGAACCATTTTAAGTAGGACAAGTTCTCTCTTTACTTTATGCCATTGATTGGGTATTCCGTTTTATTGTATCTTCGAGATTCTGCTTAAATTATTCCTCTTCCCTATTGTAAGTCCCAAAGTTATACTTTTCATGTCATCATATGAATGTCTTTTATTTTTGTAATAATATAGACCAGAAATTACTTTATTTTTGTTTAGACCTTAATTTATCAGTTTTTTTTAATCTGAAAATGTAACTACTTCTATTATGATGTAGGGAAGAGAAATAAGCATTGCGGAGAAGACAAATTATCTTGTTTTTATGATTAATGCCTTTCAGGTATATGGCATGTTTATTTCAATTTAATTTTGAACAATTACTTGCTGTTTTACCAAGGGCTACCTTTCATTACAGTACCCAAATAACCTTAGTTTTGTGATGAGAAGGATGACCATATAATCTCTCTCTCCCTCTCAAAAAAAAAAAAAAAAAAAAAAAAAAAAAAAAAAAAAAAAAAAAAAAAAAAAAA